TGTGGATCTGTTAAATATTCATCCCTTCATATTCGTGGGTTCCAAAGAGACCACAAATATGAAGGGACAAATATTTCCCCATTTTATTTGTCCCGTTGTAATAATTTTTTTTAAAAAAAAACCAATCTGCCTACTGGCCACTGATGAGCTGATCGGCAAGCCAATAGGCAGCCAACTCCCCCCACAACCTATCCCACCCCTTCTTCTCCCTACCTTAGCCCCCCCACCCCCACTGACACCTCCTTACCATAAACGTTGCTGCCACTGCCGAGGTCTCCATCAGGCCCCCACAGCCATGGCATGTAAAAAGGGAAACTGGCTGCCCTTTGCAAAGATGACGGCTGTGGCTTCATTTAGGGTAAGGAAGCTGCAGCTGCCATCTTTGAAAAGGGCTGTGGAGGCCTGATGGAGACCTTGGCAGTGGCAGTGACAATTATGGTAAAGGGGGTGTCGGCGGGGGTGGGGATGGCAGTGCAGCAGCAGGGGTGGCGGAGGTGGGGTGTTTTTTTTAAAAAAATAACCCCCCATGAATTGATCAATATATTTGTTATTCATTGCTTCATGGGGGCAACTTTGTGCTTCATGAGTCATCAACCTTTGACTACTCATGAAGCATAATGACTTGCCAAAATGGTGAGTCATCGCCATCTCTAGTACAAACTAAAAATACAGCTAAATAGTGCCCTTATTTCTAAACAATAGCATATATTATGTATTATTATCAGCAGCAACAAGTAGTATTTAAAAATAAACTTAGTTATGCAATACTGTACTTCTTAATAAACCAATTCCATTTATTTCCAGCTCCCATTTGACATTATTGCATACCTCCAGTATTTGCCAGCGGAGAAGTAGTATGTCTGTTTTTCATTGGCATTGAAAAATGCTGCGTCAATTTTCTTGACTTCTTTTGGGAAACCCAAACTTTGAATGCGTTTGGGATATCCAGAAAGCCTGATTTCACCTCTTGCAGCCCAGAACTGATTGCCTGTAATGAAGCAGAGGATGGAACCTATTTTACCTATAACTTATTGATGGCAGCATGAAACATTTTCAAAGCATTTCTTTTTCCTGGACAAGATCATTTTGATAAATTTTGAGCATTTCAACGTATTCCTGAAGGCTTTCACGGCTGGGATCTAATGGTTGTTGTGGGTTTTTTGGGCTCTTTGGCCATGTTCTGAAGGTTCTTCTTCCTGACATTTCACCAGTCTCTGTGGCTGGCATCTTCAGAGGGCTGGAGTAGGAACTCTGTCCATGTTCCGTTGGTGTTTGTTGGATAGTATTTATAGCTGTGGGAACAGCTTTTGTCTTTTCTTTTCAGGAGATAGGGTGGACAGCATGTTTTTGTTGTGATGGGGGGAAAGGGAGAGATTATCTGTTACTGTGATTGATGTCTTTTTTGTGCAATGATCTCTTCTAGAGGGTACATGACAGGTTGGCCATGGCCTGATGCCCTTTATCTGGGTATAGAGAAGTTCTTACACACCCCGGTTTGGTATAATCAGTGCACTCACTTTTCCTTTGCTGTTCTTTGCTTTGCAGTTCCCATTCTATTGTTCAAGCCTTAAGGATGGAGTGATCGAAAATCCAAAATGAAGAAATGTATAACAGTATTAATTTTGCACACTTACCTTTAAACAGAAGTATTTCGTCCTTATCACTATTTTCAGAAACAGCATCAACACCGGTTGGTACAAATGACCAAAACTGAGAAATCAAGCTGAAATCAAGCTGTGTGTACTGAGGGTGCTTTCGCCAGAAATGTCTGCAATAAACATACATATTTATTTTTCATTTTGTGCTTCTATGAAAAATCCTTTTTTGTTTCATTTGCAGCCTTTGAAAAAAGTAGCTATAATGAGGGGTTTCTAAAGTAAGTGGAGAGCATCAAGATTAAAATTAAGGGGAAGGTGTGATAAGATATGGTAGAAGTAGTGGAAAGCTGTGAGTTTGGTAGGGAGGCTTAACTCAAATCTAAGTATGTAAGTCAAGTCAATATTTTCCTGTGAGAGTGGTTCTTAAGTCAAAATGTTCTTAACTCGGGCCGTTCTTAAGTCAAGACCCCACTGTATCATAGGTTTCAGTTTCAGGAAAATCAGTTATGCTTCTGTTCTGTGAAGTCAATGGCAGGCACAATCTGGCTGTGGGGCTCATTTCTGCGGGACTTAGGCTGAAAGCTATAAGTGGACTTGACAATAAAAAGTTTTCAGATATGATTCATCATTTAGCATCCTTAAAAGGAAAAACTAAACAAGAACAATAATGCTAGAGCATTATTTAAGACGAACACATTTACTGTATTTCATTGTGAGCTTTCATGAATTAGGACACAGATCAGACACAGATGGCTGCTTAAGATGTGTTTGAAGAACTGGATGGGAAACTATGTACTCTGAAATAAATTTCCTGTTCTTAAAGGTGCCATTGCATTTCAGCTTTTGTTTTGTTGCTGTAGCTGCTGAAACAGACTAGTACAAATATCTCTCTGAAACTTCTTTATCCAGTTCTTGAAGGGAGTGAAGCTCTTCTAGGTTTACTGTGATTTCCATTACCTGTTCGGTGGTTTTTTTCTTTAACATTGTGGAGTCCTAATTTTGACTCAATATTCTAGGATGCCCCAAAGTGCATGGCTCAATTCTAAGCTCAACCTGCAGCTGGAAGCCATGTTATGTCCCTATGTTTCTGTATAGGCTTATTTCTCACTGAGGTGGTAAATCTATGTTCCATTTTAGTCTCTCATATTGATGAAAACTGCCATGATTGAATGTTCGACATATGTGTACATGCACATGTACACATCCTAGCTTTGTGTGAATTATTATTATTATTATTATTATTCTCACTCAGGTGGTAAATCTATGTTCCATTTTAGTCTCTTATATTGGTGAAAACTGCCATGATTGAATGTTCTACCTATGTGTACATGCACATGTACACATCCTAGCTTTGTGTGTCTGTGTGTTTAGTCGTTTAGTCATGTCCGACTCTTTGTGACCCCATGGACCAGAGAACGCCAGGCCCTCCTATCTTCCACTGCCTCCCAGAGTTGTGTCATCCTAGCTTTAGCCCAGCCTAATATGCCTGCCATGCTAGTTTTCCTATAAATTGTTGTGTACATAGGAGCAGTCAACAATGAGACACATGCCATTATATTCCGCAGTGGGACAGACCCAGAAACACGGAAATGATGCCACAGATCCAAGGATAGAGTGGGTCAGAAAATCTTCTAGAGCAGTGGTTCCCAACCTTGGGTTCCCAGATGTTCTTCGATTAGAACTCCCAGAAGCCTTCACTACTTGCTGTGCCGGCCAGGATTTCTGGGAATTATAGTCCAAAAACATCCGGGGACCCAAGATTGGGAACCACTGATCTACATGATGTACATGTTAAGGTGGCATACTATTGGCCATGCTCCAGGATGAAGAGGGATTTTTTTTTTCATGTCAGAAAAAAAAGCCACAAGACTCGCAGTTAAAAAGAAGTGTACCTACAGAGCAGGATTTCAGCCATAGAATGGTTAGATAGTTGATATGTAGCTAGAAAGACAAACACCTGGCCCGACAGTGATCGAGCACCTTGTCCACCAAATCTGGTGTCACAGGCTGAAAGGAGTTGAGATGTAGCAGATCGGAAAAGGCTGATTGACCAATTAGGGAAGGGAAGGGTGTGCCCTTCATTCTGTAGTGATTGGGTTTCTACCTTCCCTTTATGTCTGCATTTTCTGCTTGGATCCCCATTACGCAAAGAAGCAACACAATGCATGATATTCAGAAGGGTTCAGGAAATAATTGACAATGGAGCATAGTGCAATAAGAAGAGCTCCCTGGACTCCCTCCTTGCCTGGGGATTACAAGCTTACTTGTTTTTAAAGAACAGTATTTCTCCTCGTAAAGATGTGACGGCATCAAATGTCAGCTGAGGGTCACAAGCAGTTGGTATTGCAGACTGGGTTGGCCTGATGGGTTCTCTTGGTTTGCTGTCTTCCACTGGATCTTCTGATGGATTAGAAGATGGTCCTGAAGGTAATTGAAAGGTGTGATATTAGTAGACAATAGCAGTCTAAATCAGAACTGCCATAAAAAAGGATAAGACATTTTTACAGCATGGGTTTACAGAGATTACAGTCCGCTTCCTCAGATGCACGCAGCATAATCTTAGAGTTTCAGATATATATGTGCAGTGAATATGGTTGAGGGTGACAGTTAAAATGAACCTGGAACATGACCCAGAATAGTAAGTGACCTCATATTAATTCAGGAAGATCAATACATAGATAGTTCAAGGCAAATTATTTTCCTAAGGAAGACAATAGATCTAAGGTACAGTGGATCAAACCCAGAGTCAAATAACAAGGATGGCAGAGTCTTGGTGAGAGAAAGGATACAGATAATGGTGACCAGTCATGAGGTCCTGGAAAGAATGAATTCTGAATAAAGAATCCCCCTTGTGCAGTCTCTCAAAGCTACTTACTTTCCTATGTATGTGCCTGCCTGCTTATTTATTTGCAAAACCAGCTTCCTTTAAAAAGGACTTTAGGAATGTATAGAAAGATCATAACAACATGAAACCATTATAAAGATTTGACAAAATTCAGCAAACATTTGAAAGCATAGGAAAGTCTTCTAGAGATGTATAGCAGGACAAAGTAAAATGCAGAAGCGGCTGTACTTACTGGCTATATGTATATGTAACTTTTGCAGTGGGTATAGTGGACAGAGTGTCAGGCTGGGATCCAAGAGACCTCGGTTCCAATCTTTGTTTGGCCATGGAAACTAACTGGGGAGTGGGTGACAGTAGCACACCACTCCTTCAATATCTCACATCTCAAAACCCCTACGAGAGCCACTGTAAGTTGGTGACACATAATGACAATTAAATATGCAAGGACCCATCCATGAAAACGTAGCCATTAACTGACAAAGAGATGGCAATATTTTAGATTATTAACATTGTTTAAATTACCATAGAGATGTTGAATGCCATCAATATCATCCTGAGAGAGGACATTATCCGTTTGTTCAGGTTGCCTGTACACTGGGAACATCACAGCATTGGGATCTTTAGAATGGAAGAGTCCAAGGGAATGACCAAATTCATGAACGGCTACAAAATACAAGTTGGTGCCTAAAAGGAAGAAACAATTCATCACTGCCAAATTTCACATGGAGCAAATATTGCTTCCATGTTGCTCTCCCTAAAATTAAACGTAAGGATATAAAAGAATTTAAAACCCAGTATTAAACATGAACTATCAATCCTGTTCTGTAGGTACACTTCAGGGGGGAAAGTAGTACTCACAAAGGAATTCTGGAAGCATGGTGGGCAACAGTTGCGATGTAAACAGTGTGATCAGTTGTGATGTAAAACACACAAGGGTAACCACACAATGATTGCTATGCTGACTACGTGGGCATAATGCAAATTGAAGATCTCAGAGTCAGAGGGCAAGTACCGTATATTGGACGTTTACCAGGCAGATTGTGATTGAAGATCTCAGAGTCAGAGGGCAAGTATATTGGACGTTTACCAGGCAGTTTGTTTTGGAATCGACATGAATAAGATCAAATTAAAAACTGGTGACTACACATAAATCTCAAGGGGAAGTCCAGTGGGGAATTGTCCCTTTTTGTTCAGCCATCATACATGGTTTAATTTTGCTCTGATTTGCTGGTATTGCTTTTCTCCAATTTATGCCCTCTGTGACTGCCAGATCAGATGCAAAGAGGCACATGCAAAGGTGTCAGTTCTTCCCAACCAATTACCCGTTGTCTCAAACAACAAACAAGTTTCCAAAGTCAGCACTGCAACAGATTAGCACTAAGTCACTTTGGGGGGAAAAAAGAGGAGAAAGGACTAAGCGATTCAATGGGAAATTGCCAATTAGCACCTTGTTAGATCAGATGCAGCTTCTGCTATTGGAACTTCATGCAAATACATTCATAACACATTCATAGGTTTTTCTGCCTCTACCCCTGCTGACTCCTGCAACATGATACTTGTTTGTATCCATCTTGATGGATACAGAGATTACACTTGCAGAACTTGTAACAATGTGATGTGAAAAACTTCAGAATAGATCAAAGCAGTTCAAAGTGCTTTCCCCATGGTAGTCACACCCAGATGGGTTAGAGTAATTCTTGCTACATGAAATGCACATTTTTGTTAGGAAAGAGTAAAAGAGAGCTGAAATAAAATTTGCTGTTCATTCTATAAAAATTAAGTTTGCTCATCTCAGTTTTTAGTAACCTACAGCTATAAAAACTAACTGCTTTGTGTTAAGAAGAGAAGTTGCAGTGTAATAGTGGCTATTTGGGGGAAATATAATCTTAATGCTAAGTATCTTTAAAAAATCCAGTTCACATACACATTTCCGTATGTTTGCTCTTGAGAACAGGAACATCTAATATTTAACAGGATCAAATAAATCTATTCTCCTTTTTCCGTTCTCTGACTTTACCGTCTAATCCGTGAGTCCAGTTTTCGTCCTCATCAAAATGGGCGTCTCCTCCAATACCAGTGCTAGGAGCATAAGCATGTGCGACGGTGCCTCCAGGGCCATCAAAAGGATTGAAATCTCCATGATCTAAGTAAATGGAAGGAGGAAATCAACATTTTGCTGCCTATTCTCCGTCTGGTTAAGAAGGAAATACTGTTTGTAGATGGATCATTTGCACTAGCAGTACTGTTTGGTCTGTCCTGGATGAGGTTGTAGACTGCTGCATAGACAACCCAACAAACGATTCTCCCCCATATAAAATTTGTCATATTAAAAAACAGCAACTGCTACTTGCTTCTTTGTCCCAGAAATTCTAGTGCAACCTGAAATCTATGTAACACACAACAGGACCAAGGCCAGCTAAGTGTATGTCTTCCTACATTCTCTGTGTAGATGCATTAAACAGAGCAGTTTGGCAGTGCTTTAATATGGCATGGATTCAACCCATGGAAAGTTGGGCTTTGTAGTTTTGGTGAGATTCTTTGAATCCTCTGCTGAAGTTCAGAAAAGCACACAAAGGTTTTCTAGGGGAGAACTCTAAGGATCTTGACAAACTTCAAATTCCAGGATTCCTTACGATGGAACCAGGAGTATCACCAAACTGCTAAGCCTGTACAGTGCAGATATATTTGCTATTTTACTGTGATCAAATACAGGCTGTTTGGTTTCTACATCCAACAAATCTCTATGTATTTCCTATGCACCTTTTTTTTTTAAATATACTGTCTGACAAGGAGTTCTGGAATGTTCAAAAGCTTGCTTTCTATTTCGTGATGGCTGGTTCTAATAATAGAATTGTTTGATGGTGGATTTTTGGAATCTTTCTTTTGATTTGCTGTAGTTTCTTTTGCCCCCCCCCCATAATTTTAGAGTTCTCTTTCTCTTCATGAGATACATTCTGTTTTCACACACTGTTGTCAGTGTTACTGGCAGTTGGAACTTAGGCAGTTACAACTTATTTCTGAGGAAGGGAAATGCAGCATGCTGTGTGTGGCAGTTTATCAGAGATTTGAGACTCATCCCCAAGAGCACAAAAAGGAGGTGTTGGATTCAATGGCAAATACTGGACCAATCAAATCACATGATTACAAAACAGTTCAGCTTGGTTGTTCAGTGGAAACAGAAAAAATGTGCCATATTTATGCTTTTCTATAATAATCCCGCCAACCTAGCGGTTGGAAAGCATGCAAATGCAAGTAGATCAATAGGGACCACCTCAGTGGGAAGGTAACAGCGTTCTGTGTCTAAGTTGCACTGGCCATGTGACCACGGAAGATTGCCTTCGGACAAACGCTGGCTCTATGGCTTGGAAACGGGGATGAACACCGCCTCCTAGAGTCGAACACGACTGGACAACAATTGTCAAGGGGAACCTTTACCTATAATAATCTTAGAATTACAGAGCTGGGAGGGTCTCTATGGATCATTGAGTCCAGACGCTGTAGAGGAGGCCCAGTGGGGAATCGAACTCCCAACCTCTGGCAGATGCCTGAATCATGAAGTTGTCCAGCAAAAGCATCCATTTCACCGTTCTTGGGACTAACAGATACAGTACTGTAAAGCTAAGATCAAGTATCTTGCCTCAGAAATCTGTGCATTTTTTTGAGGCTTGGGTTCCTTTCAGTGAAGAAAAAGCACACTAAGCCATGCATAGCTTTCAAAAATATGTTCAGTTAAAAATGAGTGTATTTGAAAAGTTTGCAAAAAAAACACACTTCAGTGAGTGGGGGGAAATGCAGTCAAATATGTATGGAAATGCAAAAATACAGACGAATGCCAATTCTAATTTTTCCTCCCATGTGGAAAGATTAATGCTCACAGACTGGGATGAGACAAGATTGCAGGTGGGATTCCAAGAGACAACATGAAATTTTCCTACATTAACACGTGTGATTCCTCCATCAACGTCTTCCGTCCTTTCTTTCCCCTCTTGAGGTTAACTGCATCTTCAAACCCTCAGCCCCCCTTTCTCATCACTACTGCATCTTCAAATCCTCAGCTCCCCATCTCTCATCTCTACTCGGACCTGGTGTCCGTTTTTCTGTCTTTCTGTATTTTTACAAGAGGATTGTAAAACAAACACAGGCCTAATTAATGCATGTAACCAATGAACATTCAGAATATGAAACTGATATTTCATCTATGTTTCATTCTATTTCATCCTGTCTCTTAATGTCTGATGTGGACGTGTCCACCAAAGCTTACATTAAAATATAATGGTTAGTCTTTAAGGTGCTCCATGTTTTCGTCTCTTTTTTATTGTTTTGTTTTATTTCTATGGATTTTGCATGAAAATGGTATTTTCACATCTCCCTAGTGCACATCTGCTGACTGTAATTTATATTAAAGCATGCAATATTTCCTGACTGCTCTTTATATATACACAGCATTTTTACCTCTGGAGCCAAAGGAGATCATTATATCTGCGTTGTCTCTTTGAGTTGGAGAGAACGTTAGTGGGGAAACTCGGCTCCAAGCTTTAAATGCTTTCTCTACTGCATTCTGTACATCACGTTCTTTCATGTCTGGTGTATAATTCAGTATCCTTCAAAAAGAATGAAGCACAGTTTGAAACAGGAGCAGCATTACTACTGTTGCCACCTGGCTGAGTTGTGCAAATTTCACCCTTGAGAGCTTGTGTTGAATGATTACCTGTAGGTAAGATCTTTCTTCCCCCATTTGGGTTGTCCTGAGAAGAACGCAAATTCTCCAATATCTGGGTTTCCACACCTTGGTTTCTGAATGGCCTCCAGCGTCCTAGAATCCAAACTGCCTGTCACTTCTAGCCCAATAAATTCTTGCATTTCTTTGATTTTTTTCATTATTGGGCTGTTGGCTTTCCATCTTAACGTTGGTTTCCCATCTGTTGTTGTGAAGTTATAATAGTTTTTTAAGTACCTCTGATAAAGAGAAGAAAAGTAGAAATGGTTGTTTATGCTTGTATATACATGAATAGACTTAATCTATACTAATATTGGCATATATATCAGCAGATTCTGGATTTTTCAGAGGTTCCAAAACCAAAGATTTGTCTGGTTATTTCAAACCAAAATAAGAACATCAGGTGTCTTTCAGCTTGGCTATTAGCTACATGGATCTCTCTTTATTAATCATTCTCGTTCCTCGTCTTCCTTTTCCTCTACGTAAGAGCTATGTGATGTGTAATCTTCCTGACTACTAACTAGCAGCACCCAACATCCCTCACTCTGGGCAAGGCAGACTAAGACTTATTGGAGAAGCTGTACAACATCACTGAGAGGGCCACAGGTTTTCCACTCCTCCTCTATCCTGCTGCTCATGCTCTTTCCTGGTCCCCTTCCTTTAGATTTTTTTCCTCTGTTGTTTTCTAGACCTTCTTATTTGTATTGGTGTAGTGTTTTCTCAGCCTCCTTCTTTCCCCAATACTGACTTTTATCCCTTTTCCTTTCCTAAGCTTTTCTCTCGGCTTTCCTCTTTATCAATAGCTTCACAGCAATTTCGGCTTGTGACAAGTAAAATATAAGATCAGTGTCTCTCTCATCCTTTACTCATATTAGAGCAGTTCTAATATGAGCTCTTAAAGGGATGTGGTGGTGCTGCGGGTTAAATTGCAGAACCCTCTGTGCTGCAAGATCAGAAGACCAGCAGTCATAAGATCGAATCCACGCAATGGAGTGAGCTCCCATCACTTGTCCCAGCTCCTGCCAACCTAGCAGTTTGAAAGCAGGTAAAAATATGAGTAGATAAATAGGTACCACCTCAATGTAAAGGTAACAGCATTCTGTATCTAGTCACACTGGCCACATGACCACGGAAACTGTCTAAGGACAAACGCTGGCTCTATGGCTTGGAAACAGGGATGAGCACCGCCCCCTAGAGTCGAACACGACTGGACTAAATGTCAAGGGGAACTTTATCTTTACCTAGCAACCATAGTCAGACATTTCAGCATTACCGCCAAAGGCAGCCATGTTTGTTTATTACTGCAGCAAAAGAACAAAGCTAAACCACCAGGAAGCAATAATTAGTCTTGGGTCTTTCAAAAAATGTTCCCACCTGAACAAAAACTGGTTTCTAAGGGGAAAAAAACTATTTGTATTTTCCCCTCAAATTTTTTTTAAAAGGAAAGAAAGCTGCTCATAAAGAAAACTTTGCTCATTACTTACACCTCTCTCAGCAACACTTTCTCCTCAGAAATTAGTAATCCTGCTATACAGCAACAATACTTTTATGCCATGGGTAATGGAACTGCATAATTTAGGAAGTTATTTATCTACCTTGCTTCATCAAACCTATGCTGTTAGAATGTGTGTTACTTAAATTCTGGCCTATGTTCCTGTATGTTGTATGCCATCAAGTTGGAACACACTTAAAGAAAAAGAGTTTAAAACCCATTGAAACGGTGCTGTGAAACTTCCAATTTGATTTCTTAATTGCAGTTTTGTGGTTGGTTTTAAAAGAATAATTTTAATTCTATGCATATTTTTATATAAAAATATTTGCAAAAGCAACTTAATAATGTTGCTTTTACAAGCAGAATGGAATCCTTTAACGTAAACATAATTTCGGATTCAGTAAAAACTCATGGGTTCTGCTAAGACCATAACCAGAACCTGGACCCACATAACAATATTTCACTGTGCCCACATTGAACAGGACGTTGGGCTAGATGACCAACAAGGGGTTCCATTGTTGTATGGTCAGGATCCAGCCAATTTGTTCTGCATGAGCAATGGCCCACACTTCTCCCTTCAACAGCACTGGTTAGGAGTGCTGGCCCTCCATGTACAAGCACGGCTCGTAGCACGGGTTTCTAGGTAAGTGAGAGACTGAAGGAGTGGTTTTATCAGCTCTACCCACACCTGTCCGTTTCCATGGTCAAACAAGTATTTGAAGCTAGATCACCTGGGTCTTAGTCCATGACTCTGTCTACTATACCACACTAGGCATTCACTCAGTATACGATTTCTAGCTTCATAATAATCCTTGAATGCATTTAAAACATCCGAAATGGCATACCTCTAATTCTCCCACCCATATCACTTTCTCAGCCTGACAATCATTTCCCCAGCTGTTCACTTTGTGTCCAGCTGCCCTCCCTCCCTCAAACCTTCAACTCAGATACCACAGAGAACTCATTGTATATAATTTATAAATGATCGCAGTTCCCACTATTACCTGAAGAAGTTCCAGCTTTTCCCTTTCGTTTCTGATTGGCAGCGCATAAGACACTGTTGCAAATAACAGCATGAGGTAGATGGCCACCATTCTGAGTCTTTAGACTTCAGTTCCCAAAGGTAAATTTTAGTGTTATGTTTACTAAGGGCTCCTTGCTTATATAGAATTTTTGTGCATCATAAAATATGTTGCAACTTGACTCAGATAATAACGTTATCCAATCGTCAGGCAAGGACACAGAAGGCAAAGGGGGGGGGAACCCTTGACACAGTTTCCTATGTTTCTTCTCCTCACACCTTGGCAGATGTTGCAATGGTAACATGTTTTTGTAGTAGGAAAAAGCTACCATTTATGTTCCATCATAAATGAGTTTTAATGATGTTGACAGTATGCTTCAGGGTAATCTCTTTTTCTCTTGTCTTTCTACATTTCCTTCTAAACTTGACTCATCTTACAAGTCAGGGCATAGATTGCTCATGATCAGAACAGAAGATGCCCCCACTACACTATTGCTCAAATGGTCACTTCTGTGTCAGGGAGTACAAAGCAAGCTCACTTCAGTGGGATATATAGCTGAAGACTTTGTTGTTGTTACGTGTCATCACGTTGCCCCTGACTTACGGGGATCCTATGAATGGGCAATCTCCAGAATGTGCTGTCCTCAAATGCCCTGCACAGCTCTTGTAAACTGAAGCCTGTGATTCCTATAAGGAGTCAGTCCAGGTCATGTTTTGTCTTCCTGTTTTTCTGCTGCCTTCCACCTTTCCTAGCATTATTGTCTTTTCCCGAGAATCTTGCTGTCTCATGATGTGCCCAAAGGAGGAGGGCAGCCTTGGTTTCAACATTTTTGCCTCCAGAGATAGTTGGGCTTGATTTGATCTAGGTCCCACTTGTTCATCTTTCTGGCAGTCAAGGGTATCCTTGAAGCTCTTCTCAAGCACCACATTCCAAACAAATCATTTCCCCCTCTGTCAGTTTTCTTTATTGTTCAGCTTTCACACCCATACAAAGTGATCAGAGATATGACAGTGTGGATGATTGAGGACTTGGTACCAAAGACTCAGATTCAGACTTGGGATTCAGACCCAAGGGCTTGCCAACATCCTTGCTCTGAACACACATGTTTAAAACATCCAAAGAGCCTCGTGGCGCAGTGGTTAAAACGCTGTACTGCAGCTAAAACTGTGGTCACGACCTGGGGTTCAAATCCCAGGTAGCCGGCTCAAGGTTGACTCAGCCTTCCATCCTTCCGAGGTCGGTAAAATGAGTACCCAGCTTGCTGGGGGGGAAATGTGTAGCCTGTATAATTAAAAATTGTAAACCGCCCGGAGAGTGCTTGTAGCGCTATGAGGCGGTATATAAGTCCAATAAATAAATAAATAAATAAATAAATAAACATGGATCAGTGTCCAAGAACAATAGCATAACCATAGTTTAGAAGATATTTTGCCAAACCACTTGAAGATCTGACTCTAAGCCTATGAGATCTTGTTGTTTACTTTTTGAATAAAGTTGCAAAATGAGCTATTTTGTGATATTGCCTTGACGGGAATGAGATTTTTCAGGTTTCTTGGACTACAGACCTGATAATTCCTCATTCTGAGAATTCTCCCTTACTTGCACACACCTAAATGTTTCTCTCCTGGGAGAAAAGGCCTACATTGGATGGCTTTGTGGCTTAGGTGGGCCTAGCTCTGCTTCGCTTCCTCTTTAGAAAAAAGTTCCCAGCTAGCACTGGAACAGGAAAAGGAAGTTTGGGTAGAGCTAGGCTTTGCTAAGGGGACGTGGTGGCGCTGAAGGCTAAACCTCAGAAACCTTTGTGTGCTGCAGGGTCAGAGACCAGCAGTCGTAAGATCGAATCCATGCGACGGAGTGAGCTCCCGTCACTTTGTCCCAGCTTCTCACCAACCTAAGCATTTTGAAAGCATGAGTAGATAAATAGGTACCACTTCGGTGGGAAGGTAAACAGTGTTCCGTGTATAGCCGCGCTGGCCACGTGACAACGGAAACTGTCTTAGGACAAATGCTGGCTCTACGGCTTGGAAATGGGGATGAGCACTGCCCCCTAGAGTCTGACACGACTCACTAAATGTCAAGGGGAAACTTTACCTTTACCTAGGCTTTGCTAAGCCCCAAAGACTTCCAGTTTCAGCCTTTTCTCCCATGAGAGCCGCATTTAGGTGTGTGTAAGTCAGGTAGAATTCCCAGAATGAGGAATGATGGGATGTGTAGTCTAAGAAATCCAAAAAACCTATCATTGTTATCTTGGTATATGGGAGTTGTGGAGGCCTATACATGTGGAACTGTATCACATTCATAGCTTTCTAGTCATGAAGGAACCATACATGACCATCGGTTGATATACTCCTGGTGTCATCACTAATCATTCTAAATGTGATAGTGTTGTCATTTCTGTGCCTAAAATTCCTGAAAGAATCTCTTACTCTTTTCCCATTTGGTTTTTCTGCTGTTTTTTAAAGGCAATATACGAGGATTGCAACAGAATTTAGAATTTGCGGCTCCAACGTAACAGTTGCAAACAAGTGAGAACCTGCTACAACATTTTCCAATGGCTTATTTAGCATTTATCTTTCAGCAACTGGTTTGGCTTTTATTTTCTGGTATTCTGGTATTCCCCCTATTAACCTATATATTAAAACTAAAAATAAAACATCAGTTGGCTGGTACAGACTGTTCTTTGGGCTATGTTTTGCAGTGTTACCACACTTATTTTCAAATTAATGTGCGTTGAACTCAGTATATCTGTTGTGGGAGGTTACCATGTAAAAGCGTATATTATGGCATGATGTGAGGCTTGTTATCCTCCACCCATCATGATAAAAGTCAGCCTGGTACTTTTTAACTCCATTAATTAGCCTGTAACGTAGTGTTCTTCAGATGTGTGGTGTTGGATCTTCTATCCCCTTGACCGCTGCAGATTTTGGCTGAAGTTGATGGGCATTGTAGTTTGCTAGATTGGGGAAAACTAAAAGCTTTGCAATGTAAACATTTTGCTGAAACTAAGCAGGTACCTGGATGGGAGACTATCTGGGAATTACACCTAAAATGTAAATAAATGAATTACTGTATATTGTTTCCCCACTTGAAGTTCAGGAAAAAATCACCATGTGTCATTCAAATTTGGTGGTGATGGTGAGTTCCAGAACATATGGAGACCAAAGTTTGGGAACCACTGGTCTATTCTGATGTACGTATGGGCCAGGGGTCTGTAGCCTGGTTGCCATCAACACATGACAGCCAAGACAGGCTTTGATGGTTACTGTGAATTTCCAATAAATGAGGTGACTTACCCTGATACAGTATTTCATATTTCAACAGGATCAGTCCTTCCCAAAATTATTTACAATGGCAGAAAAATCCTTCTTAGGTCTATAAGAGACTTGCCTTTTTCTTTTAGAACTGCTTGCCTTTCTAGACATCTTGTGATTTCCTATGTATGTCAGAAAACAGCCCTATTTTAGGGTTGCCCATAATCCCCCTGAGAAATAGCAGGTACTTTTCAGCTGTTCCTCCTTCCTTCTATTCCAGCTACTGGTTTTCTGTACCCTCTTTCTAGTCAGCATTCTATGGCCAAGGAGCATCATTTGTTTTTATTATGCAGTTGAGTGTTCATTTGTTTGATTAATTAATTAATTTATGTACTGCCCGATTACTGAATTGATACTACTCTGGGTGGGGTACAAATAACTCCCACCCACTTCATACCCATAACAACATAATGACAGAATAAAACAGTCCCAATGGTGTGATAAAGCCGCCCCCCCAAATTTCAGCCTTAAACATTAACATCATTTGAGGGTAAAATATTCTTCAAGGTTGTGTTATATATTAAACTATTGTTTTAAGTAGTTTCTTGAATATTGGGAGAGGCAGAGCTTGGCACATCTTGACTGAAAGTTTGTTCCACAGAGTGGGGGCTATTACTGACAAAGCCTGACACCCTGTTGTTACATTTCTAGTTTCCCTCAGCTTTGTTGCTCTCAGAGTTATGGCTTGGGAGGACCACGTGACACAGGAAGCTGGATTTTTTTGAGGGACATTCCAATAACTATTGAGTTGAATTGTTTTTGGTCTCCCTTTGATTCTCTCCCTATTTTTCTTCCTACTTGTACCAACCTTGGCTTCCTCTGAGCCACAAATAGACAATCTGTCAGTTTTGCTGTCACTGAAATTAATTTCCCCCCCGACCTGACGGTGTTCTCATGCTGAACATGTGATTTGTGGAGTTTCATAAATTCTTTAACTACAGAAAAGTTTCTCAATGAAATTAAATGTTTGCCATCTGTATTGGCCAAATCCATTAAATTTGGCATTTCCCAACATGAGGAGTTCCAAGAGGCATGTTACATAAACAAATCTTTGCACAATTTGAGTTGTATGGGTGTGAGCCAATAAGATTGAGTAAAGACAGAGCATTTTGTAAAACTGGTGAGGAAGCATCCTGTAGTTCTCTTGCACCAGAAGTTCTCCTCAACTTGCCCTCCACTGTGGGAATTCTGGGTGAAGAGATTCAGTGCTGAGAGCCCAATACCACAGCAACACCACCGATGATTTCTGCTTTATTCAGAATGGTTGACATTTCCTGTCATTCTTTGTTGGTTGTGCCAAATCCTAGGTTTGGTCTATGTAAATATTCTTATCTGCAATCATACGCAAGATGGGAGTGGAGAAGAAAGTATGTACCCTATTTTTTGGCACATATAAAAGAAAGCTAAAGTCACCCATATGAGCCGGATGCTGCTTGTTTTTGGATCCAGCAAATGTCTTGTACACATGGCATAATTGGCATGGACACTGGATTTTTTTAAAAAAAAAGGACTCAGAGTTGGTCTTCCATGGGGGGAAAAACATGCTTCTTATGGAAGGTGACTCTGATCCATTTGATGGGCCTGTTCCTTTCTTCACCACAGCTCATGTCATCTGACAGGCCATTTATAAAATAATCAAGTCAATTCTGATTCATGACAACCCTTTACAGGGTTTTAGACCATATCCAGAAGTGGTTTATTATTCCCTTCAACTGGGAGTGCCCTAGGATTGTGCAGCTTGCTCAAGGCTATACAGGCTGGCTCTGCTCGCAGGAGGGACAATG